CTCAATCAATCTACTGCGTGTATTCTCTAACCGAGTATAGAGATTTCTCCCATCCATCCGCCCAATGAAGCTAGTTGGTCTCAGCGCAGCAGTCAGTCATGAAAAGCGCACTGAATCTGGTGTGTTTTTATTTAGGTCAGTGGGCTGGTTTCCAACAGAACTGTCAGAAAAGGCAATTGCCCCCTGGACACTGCCTGGAACTGTGTTCTAGCTTTTCAACTGCTTGTCAGGTAATGTAGTTTGCTATGATTTGTAGTTAGAGGTTACAGGTAATCTCTAAGGTCACTTCCTCCACCGTATGGGAAGTTCGTAAGAGACTAGTGTATGTGATGCCGCAAATGTTAACGAGCTGACGTCTAGCGGGTACGGATTCACTCGCTGTGATCAAAGCAAAAGGCCTATTGAGTTGACACGTCGCTTAGCCCCTGTCAAACTGCATTTGTAAAACTGAAGCGATAGAAGCCAGTTTTACCTCGCAGAGCCACCAATGTTTTTCAGTGAGGTTGTGGTGATTGGAAACGACCAGTTTCACTACGCGCGCGAAAACAGTAAGTCATGCAGGCGGAACCCCGTGATACTACCGCGATGATGATAACGCACCATGGTGCGATGCAGAATGATTACAATCCTCGACTGACAAACAGGAAATGGTGTGCGCCTAAAACAGCTACGATACACGCTGCTAAAATACGCAGAGGTTAGTTCGGTTAAATGAAAATTTCGCTCTTTGGAACCCAGCGGCCTACTCTTCATGGTGACCACATAATCACGTATTACATTAATGCACAAACTCGGTGGCCAATATTTCGCTATATTTGCAAAAGTTGATTGATCCATCGTTGTCAGTTGTGTTAGGGGATAATTGGTGTGCTATGGTGTTGTGATGATTGATCTTGACCGCGACCCTGAATTAAGTCGAACCAGTAAGCCATTTTCACTGTGAGCACACTGCACGTTTGCGACGCGCCACAAGTAGTAAAAGGTTCACGGTATCTGTTCTCGACACTTCGCATAGGACCCCACTTTTGGTCCTCGCTCCTATAACATAGTTGCTGAGCTATGGTGCACATGTCGTCCTATATCTCATATCACGATTATGCTGAACAACTGAGGAAATGCCGTAATCTTCACTCACAATATTCCGGTCTATTACTTTAATCACTTCCCTCTAACAGCGCCCTCCGTCTGCGTTTCATTGCACTCGGAAATCTCATAGCCACATTACGGATTGCGTTTCACATGTGCATACAATCTGGCGTTCGGTTGGCAATTACTCGCTCAGCTTCCTGCCTTGTTTGCCGACTAACAGCTGGAGTGAATCAAATGCACGCTAACACAACTGGCAACAGAACGCAGATGTCCTTAGCATTCCTCCTGCAGCTGGCCTGTTTGGATTGCAGACAATTACAAAAGCGGTTTCAAGGTCATTCCATCGACACTAACCGGGAGAGTAAAGTGGCATCATTAACGTGCCAACTTATTTGCGGTACTGTGGTGTGAAGAATGTTTCAGATTCCCGACCCGCTAGTGCATAATCTATATCGTCATCTCTCAGTCAGAAAGAAAATAATTTCAATACTGGACACACTGATCGCCTGCCCCCCCTTGTAGATGAGGCACCAGTATATTTGGCCCCCGTGGCATGGAAACTGAAAGTTGATCTCGGTAATTGGCGTGCTTCATCTACCTACTGTGACATGTCACAATGGGCGCCCATGACTTTGCGTGTTACTACTGCACAAATCAACCGGGTCCATCTCCCATACTTTATTGGATCTGGGCTACGGCAAAGTAAGGGATTCCCGTGAAAATCCATGAGAATATTGGCGTCGACACCTTTGTCAGCCGTCCCACGAAAGCACAAATAGGCGGTTCAGCCCGCAGAGGGATCATGAAATTGCTCCATAGAGTGTCGTACCTCAGTGACGAATGAACCGCGAAACCTACACCATTTTCGTAGAACCCCGAGTTATTAAAGATTTACTAAACTTGTTAGTCTATGCACTGGGCTGAGGAACAAGTAACATCGTGCGGTTTGGTGTGAAATTAGCACCGCTCGCAACAAGCTTGCCTCGGGGAGAGCGTACATAACTGAGAGACAGAAAATTAAATAAGAGGGCTTTATCTGGGTACTGCACCACAATGTGACCGCAATCTTAATTAAAACTCAACTGGGTAACAGAAATGAGTAGACTTTTGGACCACGGCATGCATCTGCACGATGACGGCAAAAATGTGACAAAAATTCTCCATTTGCTGCTCTGACGTCTAAGTTCAAAGACATACTTGACAATTCAGGATCTACTGTAGGGGCAAGAAAACGCTACCAAACCGTCACCGGCATGCCAGGCTAAAACACGATCTGGTTGCACTGGAGATCCTACTGCGGAGAGCAACCAAAAATGTGAAGGAATCGTTGCATCTGCCATTTGCAACTGAAAACGTGACGAGTGTACAACGGAAGTTATCGCCGTGTGCAGGTAATACTGGAAGTATGGTGTGTTAGGGGTAAAAATGCAATGCTTAACAAGCCACGTGGCAAGGAAATCATAGAGAAAATAAAAATTCAGGTTAAATGGAAATGGTATTGGTGGACTCGTCATAGACATGTGTAGAATAAGTGAGATGTTATCGTGATAAAGTATAAATCCATAAATCGATTAGTTGGGATTTTGGAAGCACACATGCTCGTTTTGTAGCTCTTTGGCTACCACAAGTTATAGAATGAAATGCGAATGTAACAACGCTTTGTCAAGTCATTTTTAATGTCACAAGATTGGGGACAGAGACGACATACTTTGGGAAGGCGTTACAAGGTTGACACACTCGGAGGGAAAATAAATTTTTACAGCATTCCAGCCGGCTATACTGCATTGTCAGTTACAGAGGATGACCTCTTAGTTTTGTGCTATGGTTCCTTTCCAACAGCGTACGACAAATGTGGTTTGGGTTCTACAGAATCTGGTAAACCATTGTGAGGTCCCCCGCAAACGCTGATATCAACTGCTATACATTCCTAGGGACTTCAAGCTAAGCTGATAGGGTAGAACCACGCGATCACTAACGTTCTTGGTTGCCTTCCTTTAAGCAATTTCGAGAGCAACGAGATCTTTTTTCTGCCATGCGTGCCACGCTTGGAGGGCATATTCCACTTGCGGTCGCATGTAGCATTTGTTAGAACATTGAGGAGCCAAACCGGCCAAACGCCCTGTGAAGTAGGCCAAATTGCTGAATGTTGGTTCTCGACGCCTTCGCTGCTTGTTTTGAGTATCCGAGATCATCCTGTATCAATACACCTACGTCACGCTCCTGAGGGGCTTTCTGCAAGGTCTGGTCTCCAAACTGGGACACGCTCACCGGCTGTTGACGCAGGTAGGTCACCTTGCACTTAGTTGTATGCAACTGAAGCAGGGTCCTCATTGACCAATCATAAATGCAATCTAGGTCATGTTGATCGTGATCTTCATTGTTATTAATTGTTCGCCATAACCTGATGTCATCGGTGAAAAGCAGGAAGTTGGAAGAGGTAACTCTTGTCAGGTCGTTAGTAAATACCAGGAATAGGCGCGATCCGAGTACTGAGCACTGTGGAACACCACGTTCCACTTCAATCTGGTTGGAGAGTGATCCCCTAACCCGCACTTGAAGCCAACATTGGTGAAGAAAGTTGCCAATCCAACCAAGAACAGGATCTCTGAGTCCGTATATCTGGAGCATGTGAAGAAGGATGCGGTGATCCAGGCGGTCGAAAGTTTTGGGGAAGTCCAGATAGATGAGATCAGCTTCGATCCCACCATCAACCACTTCCGTGCAACTACCTCGTGCAATCAGCAGGTTGGTTGTGCATGACCGGTGTTGACGGAAGCCATGCCGCTTCGGTACCAAGATGTTACATTTCTTCATCTAGTCCATTAGAGCCTCAACCATGACCTGTTCCATTATCTTCGCGAGCATAGGGAGGAGAGTCACTGGGCGATAGTGTGTAGGATATGGACGGCTACCGCCTTTAAAAACTGGGGTGATACTACCATGCTTCCACTTGTTGCATTTTTGAAGCATCTTTAGAAGAACTGTGGCGGTGGCACGGCTAGCTTAGTGGTTGCAGCATTCAGTGCTTTCTGACTGATATTGTCGGCTCCCGGAGAGCATGGTCGCGCAATGAGAGTAGCATTTTTAGTACTGTCGCTGGGTTGAAAACTACATGCAAAAACCCTGGAGTCGGTAAAATGGATGATGATATGTGACTGGTAGAGGCTGCGAGTTCGAAAATTGGGGCGTATTGTAGCCGCAGAGCATCGGCTGCTTCGTCGGCGCCTTGTACTCCACCACCTGTTGTGAAAAGTGGAAGGATGCCGTGCTTTACTTTTCGAAGACTACTGACGCCTACACATTAGTCTGTTATTTCCCAGAAAGCTTTTGGCTAGGCACTGTTGCTAAGTTAGTTTGTCCTCAAAGACAAGTGTGGTGCAATAGTTACGATGGGTAAGGAAGTTACCCCAAGTCTCTGAGTTGGGGTTAAGCTTGTAGGCACGCCATGCTGCATCCCTTATCGATAGGCATTTTCGAGTCCTGCTCCTTAGAATTGAAGTCACTTTTGCGGAATGAAGGGGCTTGGTCTCTGATGTTCTGTTGACTATGTCACTGGGTCTTTCAACGAAGTCAGTTCGAACGTTGCCAAGCGGACAGTTGTTCGAGAATTCCCAAGCGGATGCCTCGACGAATACTTTCAGGACGTGGTAGCGTGTAATTGTATGAGTTTGTCCCGATTGTTTAGGTGGATACACTACATAACAAACATAGTCAAACTTTGGTATTACACGGTCCCTGATACCTAATGGACTATCTGTCAATAACTTAACGAGCATGAGCTCTTCATTTGTGAGCACGACATCTAATATGGACGGTTTATTTGATGTCCTGAATCCAGTGGGCGAGGTGACCTGATTGTATAAGGGAAAATTGGCGAGAAGTTTATGCAAGTCTGCTTTGAAATGTTCAGTGGACGATACCGATACCTCCAGGTTGTGTACATTGGACTCATCGGTGATGAGAATGTGGCTGTACCTAGTGCGGGTTACCCTGTTCAAGGCACGTGCCAAGACGGAATCCATTTCCGGTAGACGGTGAACGACAGCTACGAGATATGCATCGTTGTGTCCTAGTCGGAGATGACAGCAGTGTGTCGATAACATGAGCTTCTCGATCATCGACTACTGTGCATTGCAGGTCACTGCGGTAATAGAGAAGAACCCCAGCTCCTTCGGTGGGACGGTCGTACCGGATAAGTGACATTTCTGCAATCTGATCCTCAACATCAGCAAGTGCTTGGTGTAACCAAGTTTCGGGAATGGAAATTACGTCCAAAGCGTTCGCGACCTGGCGTACCCGAAGTTCGGTAATTTTACTGAGGAGCCCTTGGACGTTAGTGTACATACATGAAAGTTCTCAAATTTCAGCAATATTTGGGGAATGTGCAACCCACCCTTGAAATTTTGCCAACCAGTGAGTGGCCAGCGACTCATCGTTTTTTGGTGAGTTCTTGAGGACTGGTTCGACACATTACTCTTCGGCTGCGTAGTATGTCCCAAATCTAGCCAGCTACCTACAGCGTAAGATGTCTGCATACTCACTTCATAAAACAGGTTGTATGGGTTCATCAGATACACTACTGACGCCCGGTACTATTATTGTTCCCACCACATTTGATTCATTCACTAGTACCGGCTCGTTCTTTTGTGAGAAAGTGCTAAATGTGCCGGATTGGGCTGCGTATTGAATAGAATGTTTAATTTCACGGGTACAAATCAATAAATCCCGGGGTCATTGGAAGTGGCAAGTATGTACAGAGGAAATCATAGCCGAAGTTGTAGGCCACGGTAGAAGCAAAGGACGTGCAAACTGTTTTTGTACGCACAATTCTGGCTTGAGGTGGCGGATGTAGATAGCTTCGCAATAGACAGTACGGAGGAACCGGTAAAGGAGAAAACTCAGTCAGTCAGGTTTACCTCATATATAAAATATCCTGATTGCCTAAGCGTCGGACGATCGTAAATCGCGAGGTATGCCGAAGTGTACGTTTACGTAGAATCCGATCGTGAATAGAGCAGGCAGCGACGCGCACAATCGCAACAAACCAGCGGCAACCAAGGTAGAACCACGGAAGACGAGCTCGTAACCAAGTGTGTGTATAAAAAGTTAATTAAAACAAAGCTGTACAACAACTGCAGCGAAATAGGTAAACGTGAAAATGCAAAATTAGCAAATTATTTACAACCGCTACAGTACTCCCCCCTAGAGCGTGCACTAGGGAAACGCTCGACAAGGTGCCTATGGAACGTATTGAGCAAGCTTAGGTGGAAGGAAAATAACACGACCAGAACGTGTGTGTGTGGAGCTGCGTGTAGTCGAAGGGCACAGAGGACTAGGTGTACGGGCGTCAGTGTGTTGTTGGGTAGGGGGTAATAAGTCAGGGGCGGGTGTATGCTGAGGGGAGGAAACGGGATCAGTACTATCGACTGTAGATTCTACGTAAGCTGGTTTGAGTCGGTCAATGTTCACGGATTCTTTTGATCCATTCTTATTCAACACGAAATACTTGGGTTTCCGTGATAAGACCTGATACGGGCCTTGATAGGGTGGGGTTAAAGGTCTTCGGACGGCGTCGACGCGGATGAAAACAAACGGGCACTTGTGCAAATCAAGGTGGACTTGCTGTTTACGTATGTTAGGCCGCGTAGACGTTGGTCGAATGGATCAAAAATGCTGTTTGAGGCGCTCAGCGTACGAGATGGGGTCTAGTTCACCGGTGGTGCGAGAGTTCAGTACCATCTCACTAGGGAGTCGGAGGGTCGTCCCGAACACGAGTTCTGCAGGGCAGCACCCAATGTCCTCTTTGATTGTATTGCGTATACCAAGGAGGATCGCAGGTAGACGCTCAGACCAGCGTGAGTCGGATGAACTAGCCATGATGGCAGCTTTTAATTGTAGATAAAAGCGCTCGAGGAGGCCATTGGCAGCGGGGTGGTACGCGGTTGCTCTTATGTGAGTACAGCCTAATAAACGACTGATATCACGGAACAGTGTGGAACTGAACTGAGTCCCTCTGTCGGTAGTGATGGTGGATGGAACACCAAACAAAGAGGTCCAAGATTCAACAAAAGCACGGGAAACAGACTCGGTAGATGTATCACGTAAAGGAACAGCTTGTGGCCAACGGGTAAAACGGTCAACACATGTTAGAAGATGGGTGAAACCGTTGGAAGGAGGTAAAGGGCCAACAATATCTACGTGAACGTGTCTAAAACGTGCGAAGTGAAAATGTACCTGGACTAGTGACTGGGTGACGGTGAACTTTACTGCTTTGGCACCTAAGACAATGGTTTAGCCCAATGTCTAATGTCTGAACGCATATTGTGCCAGAGGAAGCGGTCGGTAATGAGCTTTACGGTGGAGCGGATACTTGGGTGTGAAAGACCATGAAAATGATCAAAAATGGTTCGACGAAATGATCGTGGGACAAAGGGTCTAGGCTTACCGGTTGAAAGGTCACAGTAAACTCTTATGTCAGAGTTAAGTACTGGCAATTGTGTGAGCTTCAATGCGGGGTTTGACTGAAGTTGGACAAGATCAGGATCATCGTTTTGAGCGGCCGCTATTCCCTCCAAGTCGATGGGTGTTGACGACAACTGATTCATATGAGCGCGGTACAATGCATCGGCAACAGCGTTGTTAGGACCGTCGATATAACGAACATCGACATAAAACTGCGAAAGATAGTCCAGATGACGCGTTTCTCGGGGTGAGTAACGGTCCGAGGCAGAATGGAAAGCGTAAACCAGTGGCTTGTGATCTGTCAAAAGTATGAAACGACGTCCTTCTAAAAGGTGACGGAAATGTTTCACAGCCAAGTACATGGCGAGTAGTTCACGACCAAAGGTGCTGTACCTGACCTGAGCAAGTTGTAGCTTCCGTGAGAAAAACGACAGCGGTTGAAATTCGTTATCGACTAACTGTAGCAAAACTGCACCGACAACGGAACTTGAAGCATCCGTCTTAAGGACAAGTGTAGCGTCCTCAGTGGTGTTCAAGTGATGGAGAGAGGTGACCTCACTAAACTTCTGCTTGACGGCCGAGAAAGCAGCTTCAACTTCTGGGGTTTTGGTTAACGTCTTTGAGTTTCCTTTCAATAAGTCGGTAAGCGGATAAAGTAACTCAGCACAGTTGGGGATGAATCTGCCGTAGTAGTTGATCATACCGAGAAATCGGCGCAGACTTCAGACAGATTGGGGCATCGGATATTCGAGGATCGCTTGAGATTTATCCGGGAGGGGTTTAATACCTTCACCATCGATCCTGTGACCGAGAAATTCGACCGTTGGCTGACCAAATTTGCATTTGTCCGGGTTGATGGTTATACCATGGCTTTCAAAGCGTTCAAAAACCATCCGGAGGTGTGATAAATGCTCGTCGGGTGTGGCACTTGCGATCAAAACATCGTCAATGTAAACGTAGACGAAATCAAGGCCACGGAGGACCTGATCCATAAAGCGTTGAAAAGACTGTGCTGCGTTCTGGAGGCCGAAAGGCATACGAAGAAATCCGTAAAGGCCAAATGGGGTGATAACAGCGGTTTTCGAGATGTCTTCCTCCGCCATTGGAATCTGGTGGTAAGCTCTGACAAGATCGAGTTTGGTAAAGATCGACTTTCCGGCTAGTCCAAGCGAGAAATCGTGGATATGGGGGATAGGACACCTATCCGGAACAGTGACACTGTTGAGAACACGGTAGTCACCGCATGGTCGCCAATCGCCTGACATTTTAGACACCAGATGGAGAGGTGATGCCCAGCAGCTGTTTGAAGGACGAACAATGCCGAGATCAAGCATGTGTTGGAATTCCTTTATAGCTTCCTGAAGTTTGTCAGGGCGCAAGCGTCGAGCTTTAGCAGTTACTGGCGGACCGGTTGTAACGATGTGATGGCGTACATCGAGTTTAGGGTGGGAAGTATCGTAACTCGCTCGAATGAGGGACGGGAATTGTCGGAGCAATGAGCAGTACTGTGGGTCGTCAGATATGAGGATGCGAAGCCCGAGAGAATTGACGGAAGCAAGTTCTCAGGGGATGCTTAAAGACGTAGTGTCGTCTCGTAATTTCCCACAACGTAGGTCGACCACAAGACCGAACTTGCTGAGAAAGTCGATTCCGATGATGGGCTTTTGCACATCGGCGATGGTAAAAATGAATGGGAAGTTACGCCGTGGTCCAAGACTCAAAGTAAGTAATTTCTGGCCGTAGGTTGCGATTTTACTCTGATTAGCTGCCGTAAGCATTGGACCAGCTGGTTGCAGGGGGCGTTTTTCCAGAGAACGGGGGAGAACGCTGACTTCTGCACCAGTGTCAACCAAGAAGTGAAGTTTGCTTGTGGAGTCAACTACGTGCAACAGGCGAGTAATAACCTGGCCAGCGACAGCCGCCGCCATTACTGGCTGGCCATGTGGTTTCCCGACGTAGGAGTTGAAAAAGCTTTGGGGCGTTTACACCCTGGACGGCACTTACGCGCTGCGTCTCCGAAGCGGTGGTGATAATAACAATAGCGGTGAGACTGTCGTGTACGAGAGCTGCGAGAACGTCTGGATCGAGAAACGGATTGTCGCGAAGGAACGGGGTCGCGTTTAAGGTGAGACAAGGTGAGCTCTAGGTTAGGAAATCTCTCGTTGATTGTGTCAAGTAGCGTGGTTCCGGAGAGGTTGCCTGAGCTAGTCTCAGTGACGTGTGATACCAACGTTTTAATGAAGCGTTCGTGAACTTTATCAGCAGCTTCTGCCAGTTTGTCTAGCGGAAGACCGTCGGCGAGAACAGCTAAAATAGCCGTGGTATTCACAGGAAGACAATTACTCCACAATTGGCGGAGAACGGAGTCATCCAGTATTGAAGAACCGACGAGGAAACGCATGTGTCGGAGTAACTGAGACGGTGTTCTATCTCCAAGCTCAACGCCAGAGAACAACTGCTGAAGGCGTGTCTCATCTGAGGCTGTAGTGCGCTTTAATATGGCTGCCTTAAGTTTATCATAGGGGGACTCTAGGGGCATAGGATCAAGGATGTCGATGACCTCAGAGGCGATGTTGGACGGTAGGTGAGCAGTCACATATGAAAACATAGTGGACTGGGAAGTAATCTTACGAAAACGGAAAACAGCTTCTACTTGAGCGAACCAGACACGTGGGTTAGAAACGTCAAAAGAAGGTAAAACCAGTCCAGTAAAACCAGTCCTCTTATGTAGACGATACATTTATACTCTGCAAATCGAAAGCACAGACTGTGTATCTGTTGGAAGCTTTTAATGATGCGCATCAGAATCTACATTTCACATGTGAGCACGAATCCAGAAATCGACTGTCGTTCCTGGATGTTGATATCATCAGAAACGCCGATGGATTGTGCAGCAGAGGGGTGTATAGAAAACCAACTTGGACTGGACAGTACATCAACTTCTATAGTGCGATACCCATACAGTACAAACGAAACCTAGTCCGCACTCTTGCGTTCCGGGCACATAGAATTTGCACCCCGGACACAATCACCAAGGAATTGCAGAGATTCGGCGACGCGCTAAGAGCGAATGGGTATCCAGATAAATTCATCCTCAAACATTTAAAAGAACACAAGATAAAACCACCGAGAATGAACGTACCCAAAAAAGAACTAATTGTGCATATTCCTTTCAAAGGCAACAGTGCGGCCGATGCCCTGTCCAAACGCCTGAAAGACGCTGTTGAAAAGACCTACTTCGCGGCTCACCTACGCATAGTATTTTACAACAAGCCTGTATTCGCAAAACCTTTGAAAGACAGGCTGCCTCCGGTGACTCGATCAATGCTTGTTTACCTTTACTCGTGCTCCTGTGAGGCACGATACGTGGGTCGTACCACGAGGCGCCTATCTCATAGGATTCGTGAACACATCCCGAAGTGGTTTTACAAAGACGAAGCGAGGTCCAGTAACAGTTCCATCGTATCTCACCTTCTAGAGTGCGGTCACGCAGCGACGGAAAATGATGTCATGTTTGAGTCCGATGAGAATTACCGAAAAGAATTCTTTACTCAGATTCTGCCTCTCTTGATTCATTCTAATAAATGGGAATTTTTGGATTGTTGAGGATCAGCATTTCCCGTGATTCAGTCAAACTTATATAAGAGTGGGCGCAGTATCAGAGAAGTCAATGCACCCAAAGAATATGCACGAGACGGACCGCTGTGCGTGAACTGCGCACATAAGAAACGCGAACGCTGACCAGCCTAGGTAGTCACGTTCGATTCCTTGGTTGTGAATTGAAGTTACTTCATAAACTGAGATGATATGATGAGACAAAAGCAGAGGATTGCGACGTACCAGTGCTAATGTCCATGAAAATGTTACCGAGGACAGTACCAATAAGGCGTCCTGGAGATATGCAATAGTATCACACAGTTGCCCAAATTGAGGCCGGGAATAAGGTGCCGCCAGAGTTATTTATTTGTTAGCGTCTTTAAAGAGGCAAGCAAAGCTGCTATGCACGCACGCACACATATGAATCCATGGATGTATGTGACAGTACAGCGCACATGGTAATGGCACCGTAACGAAATTCAGACGGATCTCTGTGGAGCAGAGAGACGCTCAAAGCAGTCGGTTAATGAAATGATGACCGAGACAACTGAAACGGAGCTCATCGGACGGAAAGAGGGATAAAAAGCAAATATTGCAATATATGAGAGTAATGAGTAAACACAGAAGTGAATTCATGCGGTGCAGTTCGGTGAGTGTGAGCGCGACTGTCATGTTTGAAAAATGGAAGACCAGTAAGCGGAAACAAAGATACAGATTCGCAAAAAAGGATAAGGAAGACAAAGTGGCGAAACACTGAATAAGTGCACGATTTGGTAAGTACGCATGAGAGACGACATACTATCAGTCCGTTTCAGGGCTTGCAGACATCGATGCTCCACTTCCAAGATATGTACTCGGTTTTGTCTACGTCTCTGAACCGGCTTTTGATGGAATAAGTGCCTCGATGCACTACGCCCTTGGGTGCCTCGAGCATTTCTGATTTCCAAACACGGACATCCCGTTGCGGAGCGTAGCTGCCCAGCATGACAGTGGAGTGGTCAACTGAGGGAGAAAGAAAATAAGAATAATGAGAAGCAACTGAACGATTGATAGAAATACAGTGGAGCTTCGAGGGTGTCGTAACTTGTTTGTGGGAAATATGACGGGATCGGTCGTTGAACTTGTAATTAGGTACACAGTCGGGAGACTCGGAGCACAAGAGTTATGGGGGGTGATTTCGTGTGCATTGTCCGCAGCAGCGCCGTACCGGGAAAATAGTGTTGGGTTAGTTAAAGGGGTGATTTTGAGGCACTGAATTGGACTAAGACCCGCAGGCTCAATGTAGATTACGAATCGTATTGAAGTAAGCCTTGGCCCATTCGATTACTGGGATCATAACTGAAGAATCAGACGGATAGATTAGGTGTTGCCCGCCCGAAAACACTGCACAACCGCGACGCGTTTCGATCTGGTTTGATCTCATCAGGTAGAGGTAGTAGAAATCGAACTCGGGACCATTATAATATTAGCCGAAACCTCTATTCCCTTGTCCACCGGGTCACGACGGGCAACGCTCAGTATAAAATGGTTATTGACTGGATTTCGACGCGTAATCCCAATGTTGACCGCAATTCCCATTGAAATGAACCATGGCCAATTCTATCAGCAGGACCGTAACTGAAGTAGACAGAAATTGAGTGTTGTCCGCGATAACTTTGCTAACGTTCATCGCAACAGTACAGTGTGGTTTTACGCGCGGACAGATGAATTACTCCAGCACGTATCTAGTCATTCATCATCATTAGTACTGTGGAAAAGGGTCTACTGCAGCTGATGAAGTCGGACAATCTTCTGATTACCGCTGAGCACGGCTTCAAGAAGTGCCGCTCCTGTATCACCAACCTGCTGTTTACGCAGCATGAATGGTTGCAAGTGTTGAACCGGGGGAAGTAGACATATGTGATCTGCGGTGATTTTAGTAAAACATTCAAGAACGTGAACCATGTAGTCCTCCTCAATAAGCTGAGGATGTGCGATGTTGGTGGCTCACTGCACCACTGGATCAGTGACTTCCCTATTGGACGGAAATGGAGAATACAGGTGGATGACCAACTAACGGACTGTTACCCTTCCAATAGTGGCGTACCCCATGGCACAGTATTAAGGCTTATTTTACTCTTGATCCACATCAAAGAAGTATCTCAGCATCATCGGTCGTCTTGTGCCTTATTTGTAGACTAGCTGCAAATTCGGAGTGTAACTGACGATCGCGACGTATTTCAGTATGACATCGACCGCCTGTCCAGTGGTCTGCAGGGATCGGTCTGCCGATCAACCCAGTTACACCAAGTGGTGATGGGCGTACGTACACTCTGGTCGGCCAACCGCTACGTCCCACACCTACCGTGAGACATCTTGGTGTACTCATACGCTGCGAGCTGAAGTCCGTAGACAACACGAACAAGCTAGATGGAAACAGACTGCGCATCCTTTCGGCACTCCAACGCGGCATCTGCATTTAGTATGAGGAGATTGCAACTCGCTTCTTCTTTTCGATCATAAGACCGATACTCCAGTACGGATCACCCGACTATTATCTGATCATCCATGGCGAGGTGCAAAGACTGGAACAGATTCAGCATTCAGCCACCAGATTCATCCCCAATTTACAGGGTATCTCTTACGAATAACAATGCAGACGACTAGGGCTATACACACCCTGTTGTAACGTCAGGTTTGTGTGGACCTAGTAATAAGGCACCGGATATTGTATTTGGGTCACTTCCCCATGCTGAAGCCACTGCTGCAGGTGCGCACACCAAGCAGTACTCGCGGGCACCGGCACAAGCTAGTGAGACTGGACCTAAAGCGGATAGCTCACCATCTTTGTTTCGAGCGTCGAATGGTGAAATACTGAACAGTGCTCGAGAAAATAATCGGGACGAAATCGGTGTCGGAATTCAAGGAATTCTTAGACACTCACTGTGTGGATCTCAGATTTAGGGAGCGCATCGAACTTGTATGGCCTATGACGTGGGTGCAATGTGTTGCAAACTCGCAGGAAGCTGTGAAGTGATTCTGTGCACGTGCCCGATCTAATTACGATGAAGCATTTTATATATATATATATATATATATATATATATATATATATATATATATATATATATATATATATATATATATATACTAGCTTTCCGTTCTCAATATTTATCATCCTCATGAACAAAACACGATAGCTGAGGGTGAGAAACCCAATTCAGTAATACAAAAAGATACCAAATATTACAGAAAATTAAAAAAAAAGCAAGATAATGATAAGTAACATACTATGTATGGTATGTAACATCGTGACTGGAGAGGGACGCGAACCGGGTGGGAGGGACAAAGAAACGCACAACACAAACGCCACTGAGGTCGGACCGGATATTAAGGAATGCAGGCAGACGTAAACAGCACATAAACGCAGTGTGGATTTCACGTGACAGCCAAATAGTATTCGTTGCATCCGCAGACGTTGTAGTCGACCACGAGCGAACAGTTGTGCGTGCACAGAACCGCAAGCATCGATCTTGCCATTGTACTGGCTGCAGCTTATTGCCGTGGAGTACTATCCAGTCGAATCGTTGACAGCAGCCCCTTTTCACCATCTGTAAATTTCGCTCGATGACCGTGAAAAAACTGTGGACTGTTCATAGACGATTGGAGAAAAGTGTCGTACATCGTCGCCAAACCTATTTCGTGAAACGTGTGCCGATCATGAATAGTACGGATGTATGATTTGTGTGTGTGTGTTACACTATGTAACACATGGTGACGCTGGAATGTTAGCAGGTTCCAGCCCATCCACCTAGCAGTTGTGACAAAAACAAAAGATACCGCCACTCTCGGAGTTGACACGTTTGACGAGCAAACAATTGGACCTCGATAAAACTCCCTGTAGCGAACACATCATGGCAGTGACCGGGTTTGATCGTTAAAACAGCATTCGACAAGTCAAATCGTAAGTTAGCAGTTGTAAAGGAACAGGCGCAGCCAAATGTGCACATATGTCAACTGCTTCACTTAGTTCAAACGTGGCTGGTGGTTTCTATGCAGCTGTCGAGCAACACACTGACGAAACCAGTGCGAGCTGGACATAGTAAGACAAGAACTGCAGCAGTATGGACGCTTATGCTTAACGTAAATCGCGCTCAACGGAGACGTACCAAAACACTCTGGCCACGTAACGAGACAAAGATGAGGGATGCACTCTCGAACACATTAGACAAACGGTCCCATATCGCAGACACAAAAAGGCTTCTAAAAAAGAAACCAGTGTGTCGGAGAAATGGTGTGGATAAAACAGACAGCCATGCATGGATTGGTAGTCAAAGTGATTAAAAAGGGATTCAATAAACACGAAGAGCTTCCGATGTAACCAACAACGACGGGTGTGTTAAATATGACCGATGAAGTCACACAAAGAGCGCACATTGCAAAGTTTGTGTTCGGGATGGTCGGATCCAGCAAAGAAAACTTAGTGAGTAACAGCTGGTGCAAATGTGCCTCAGCGAGGTAGAATCCATGTATGGACTAACATCAATGTGCGATCGGTTGAATCACCTGGCCGGGCTCCAAACTACCATAAGCTTATACCATGAGAGTAAGATATAAGTGTGCCCGTCGTCGAAACCCACCCTCAGGAGTGGGCTACAGCTTCTGGCTCTGCACATTGCCTCTCGTAGACGAAGTACCGCCCTCAACTGACAGTCAATTAATCGCTATATCGCACGAAATGACAAATGGGGTAGCTAGGGGAACGAAGCGTGCGCCATCGTATGTGAATGCAGCATGCCAAAAAACATGAATAGCGATGAATAGTGTGACAAACCTCGCAGCGGTCCTCGGTGAACGGATTGTTCGTATTGCAACCCGGTCACAATATCTCGTTGGACGTAGTACCGAACCTCGATATGATAGCTGGTGCCCTCAGGAATCGGTATTCGATTGCAGTCGGGATTGTCCAGACTACCTGAGTCGGAAGTGAAAGAAGTGGAGGAAATAATGCAGGTTGCTGCTAGATAAAGACCAAAGTTAACCACAAGGACCATCGGTGAATACGGGTTTACTAAGCTACAAAATACAGGTCAAATGGTGCTCCGCCGGTAAAGCGAAAGTTGGTGCAAACACTAACGCAAAGGACAAAAAAACAAACGAAGGGACGAAATCTTCATCGTTACATTGCGGGTTAAGATGTTTTGATATATGAAAGGAGTGAACGAGAGGAAAGAACGATCCCCCCCCCGGTAACAAAAGAGATAAAAACTACTGTGAGTCGAATCACTACCAATGAGGGTGAAAAAACAAGTACATGTCTCAAGTACAGTCTCAGGAGAGCACTAGAGCATAGATGACGTCTAGCTTGTTCATATATGAACGGCAGTGTCTTAGAAACAGCTGCTTCAATGATCCCGATAAACCGCAGGTGGTGTGTCTTCTAGCCAAGAAGCTGTGCTCCCTTCAAATAAGGAAATTGATTCACCATGTGTGAGTCAAGCACACCTGAATTCCTAAAAATGATGATCGGCTGATGACAGCAAGTTGTCCACGTCCTTCGATCGAAGAAAATGATAGTGTGCCGTCAAAGCGACGAGCTGATTCAGAAACAGAATAAGCAAATCAGATGGGTGCAGTTGAGAAAGAATATGTGCAAAAAGGAGCTTCGCAAACTCAGTGAGCAACCGATTGTGAGTAAACGTCGATGCATCTGTGAAATCGAAAGTGCCGTGTGTATTGCTGTAGTGGAGGGAGTCGGTGTATAAAATGATAATGCGCAATTAGAAAAAGGTCAGATGCAAAATCCACCCGGGAATTCAATGCACACATCTGCCCCTATCTATCCTTACCACCACCTGCTAGTGATGGACAGTACTCCAGACGGGGATTTGAAGTGCCTCATTTTTTCGTACAGTGTCCACATAGCGCTGCGGACAGCGTACATATAATTATACACGTTATTTTTGTGGCGAAAATTCTCGGTAGATTGCACATTTGACGTTCGTGACGGATGACAGCAACAGAAACATACAAAATCAAACGCCATCTATGGGAGAAAATGATGACAGAAAAGCACTTACCCGTAGGTATTTTTTGGTCGACTAATATAGGAACTTACGACTGGACAAATTTGACATTGCAATGTCATACTGTCGGCCTATCCATAGACGAGCTTATATTCAGTAAGTTTTACTCTAGTACGGTGCTACCTCACATGTTGTGTCAGATTTTCGCGGCGAAATTTTGGGAAGCCGGACCAAATAGCCGGTATGGAGGGAGGCTGACAGTCCGCATTAACAGAAGGGTCATGTCGACCGGCAAATCTAATCGTGAAGCCATTCCCGTGTTTACAGCGCAAAGTGACACTGTGCAACATCAATGCGCGCAAACCTGTCGGAGCAGTACATATCTAACGCCGAGTTTAGCTTAAAAGATGGACACATTGCACCTAAGCGTGTTCCCGATGAGACAAAGCAGGTTAGCAACATTCCACGATATGACTTTACTCATTGGACGATGAATCAGATGCGTTTACTCGCACCTCAGGAGATAGAAGCTATCCGTGGCATAAAATACAGTTAAAATCCCGTTGCAAATTCATCATTTCAGAACTGGAAATTGATGCACGAGTTTCCAGAGCCTCGATGTTTGTGAAGCATTGTAAACTTAGTCTGGAATAAGGAGGTGAAATTATCTGAACCCGATATCTGACTCGCTTAGCGTTTTCAAGGCCATTTTCCGGTTGATTTTTGTTTATGTGCTTTCTTTACCTTCCTAACTCTGAAAATGTGGTTGTCCTAGTGATGCGACTGCTGAGCTTGGTGTCCGAGTCAGTAATTTGACTAGAAAGATTGAAGTACGATGATCCCATAGATCGGGATACCAGGAAGTGAAAGCCAACCCAGAACAATGGTGTATTAGCAACCATTGGTGTTGGATATTAATCACAAAGGTTGCATAGATTGCTGCAGTGTGTAGAGGCTAGTCGAAAGGGGTCAATTAGAGTCAACGAGAATGACGACTGCGTCTTTATAGACCACAAAATATAACGGTCAGATAACTAGCTGAGATGGATTTTAGCGCTTATTGCTGGCGACAGAGCGCGATATGAGCGCCACAGTCTAGGATTTAGCGAGACCTCGAAGAAGATTGATGTGCACCACAAACATAGGACTAAAGCAGAGTACTCCGAAACAGGGACGGCTTGCCGAACTAAATCTGTGTGGTGACAGTTGAGTGACGCGGAGGCAGTGTTCCAGAAAGTAGTGGGTCTTTGTTTGATATGGGCTCTCTGCTGTTTAATAACAGCGGGTAGTGGTGAATGTGACTCGCCAGAAACTGTCCCTTGCTCCACTACAGCGGAGCAATGTATACCAACTAAAGGGTGCTAATGTCAATGGGGAATAACTCACCAAACCAAAGGTGTATGAACTGGGAATTCACCGGCTCTAAATGAACGTGCTTCCATGAGTTCCGCGGCCTTGCGCATAGGCTGTTAAACTGAAAGCTAGAAGCTGCACCGTCTGAGTCTACCTACTCCAGCTTGGGCGAACGAGTGGTGTCATGCACTCTCAAGTGCCACTGCTTTCACCACTACTCACACGCTAACTGTTCACACGGCGATAATCACAGTTAACCTTTATGTTTAGATTTCGGTTTCTATGAATCTACTTCTGATGCCGATTTCGCTGATACCTACAGAGTTCCATCAGTTCCGCTGCATTACCCAGACAAGCATGATCCAATCTACGGTGGATTGGGCGAGAAGCCAGTCCCGAGCGTACCCCAGAATCAACGGCTATCCAGGTTTGCTATCTTGCCGAAATCCTAGTGGTGGGACCATGCGCTGTTCTTAAACCGACCACACCACTGATTATAGAGCCATATATCACCAACGTATGTCTGGTAACACAGACACTAAACAAGCTCAGCTTACCTTGGTGGTAGTAGTAACTAAGAGGCTACGTTACCGAAAAGTACCGGAGTAACAATTGATTGTGCAGTTCAACCATCGTGAGGAAAGATTTAGCTTATCCGGGTTATTCGCTCACTCACTCCTGTTCTGAGCTAACAAATGGAATGCGATTGCTGTCGGGTCGGTCACCAGTTGCTGCGTGAATAACGAAAACAAACTTCTCATACTGTGTGAAGGCAAACGCCTATCTCTCTTGAGCACCAACTTCAAGTTCTTTCGACAATGCAACTTCAGTCACAAATATTTCAAATTGTAATCAGTTTCAAATGGCGGGGTAGCATAAGAAACCGAAGATCAGTCCGGTGTAACTTTCTTGGTTCAGAGTAAGAACTTCGTGAGTCAATCACGAAGAAATCAGCCGTATACAAAAATAAATTAAAAGGTATATTCTCGATGTTACATAAGGCACACCAAAGAAAGCATGATCAGTTTTTGGAGGGTCAAGTTTGGATTACACGTTGTGTGATTGGATTGCGACACGCAACCTCAATATAATGGACTGTGATTCACATCGAAACGCGTCGTGGTTGTGCAGTATTTTCGGGTGGGCAATACCCAATTTCCATCTACTTTGAATACGGTCCCAGCGATCGCAGTGACTAAGGTTCATTTCAATGTGAATCACAGTCCATTATATTGAGGTTGCGTGTCGCAATCCAATCACACAACGTGTAATCCAAACTTGACCCTCCAATTAGTCATCTACCGTTGTGACAAAATGTGTTGCCCATCGTGACCCGGTAGCCAAAGGGGTAGTAGTGTTGGCTGCTATTCCAATGGTCCTGGGTTCAAATCCTGCTGTCTCCACCTGATGAGATGAAAAATTACATCGAAACGCGTCGTGGTTGTGCAGTATTTTCGGGTGGGCAATACCCAATTTCCATCTACTTTGAATACGGTCCCAGTGATCGCAGTGACTAAGGTTCATTTCAATGTGAATCACAGTCCATTATATTGAGGTTGCAGTTTTGTACAAGCAGATATGTGACAATTGCCGTTTGAACAAGCCCCGAAGACTACCGTGAAGAACAAGTTAATTTTCACCCCCACCACGTGTGCAGACCAATTTCTTATGCATTGCCAACTCCCTGAATGCTACTACCTCCATCATCGTCGCATTTCTGGACATCCGTGCAGCGTCCTATTCGGTCGACCGGCCTGCCTCATGGCGAAATCTGTAAATGTACGGGGTCATCTGAGTGTACTGCCACCCCTCTATGTCCCCGACAGAGTGAGAGTTCAACGCCATTTGCTGGCAGTGGCCGTGTGCCATAGGGGTGCTCTATTTACCGACTCCTCCTCAATTATGTAACCGAGGATCTCCTGTTGGGTGTTCTGGATAAGAACATGTGCTCTACTGCGCCCTACAAACAAGCCACAAAGGACAGTGATGAGCAAGAACCAAAGGAAAGCATGGAGTCAAGAGCACCTTGCACGTATGTGTGATAAAACCCCGATAAAGTTTCATAGCTAAAGTAATGGACAGATTTCGAATTACCAGCTTATTAGCAATCAGCATCAGGATGTGATTTAACAAGCTTGTGGAGAAAGCATTAGCGAGAAATTTTGAATGATAAGCACGGGCTGTGGAGGATTCGATGCTACTCGGTAACGGTGTGATAACAACAAGCAACAGGCATGGGTTGATCCAAAATCGATGCATAAACGGAAAGTAACCGGATGATAAAAATGTTTAGAAGAGAAAGTGGGGCTACGACAATGCATGTGGCACATTCAAAGTGCAGCTGGGTAGAGACAAATAATCACGCGTAACTTACCCAAGTAGAAAAGTTCACAAGGTTCATGGTAAACAATTGGTCGATAAAGCCAAAAGTTCTCGTGGGTCACATACCCATAAAGTTTCAGGACACTTTATCAATGGATTCCAAGTTTAGTGATGAAATTGAAAACAGAATAGCAACATATGCAGTGCTAAGGCACAGAAGCCACATGCAATGAACCAACTACCGTTGAAACGCAGTAGAAGCGAGGCAAGGACACATGTATTAGATCGTAGGGAGATAGGCAGTTACAGTCGTCCTTGCCCCCACGCGATATCTACCAGGCGTCGTTTGAAATGAGAGATGGTCAAGGGAGATTAGGCATATGCCTTGAGAAAGCACCAGTGCAAAACCAGTTTCTTGTCACCGTGCGAGAGCAATGGAAAAGGGAAGTAAGATTACGTCGCGGAGAGTCATTTAAAGATCCAAAGGACAGTCTTTCGTGTGGTTTAGAATTATTTGCTTTCACCTCTAGTAAACGTTAGAATTAGACTAATCGGGATAAAGCCGTCATGACAATGGCGGGGTACCGTGTACTAACTGTAGTTCACAGGCACCATGGAAAAGAAGCGAGTGCGAAAGAGATCACCGGAGTGGATATTAAAGGACCTTCAGACAAGTAACTGGGTGCCAAAGTTCCACATTTAATGTGGGAGACTGCGTCACAGGCTTTCGGCCTGCTGTAATGGCGTCGCTAGATTGAACTGACACATTGGGCGTAGGCTAATCACTAAAGCTCAACAAAATTCCCATACGGGTTTCAAGAAACCGTGGGAAACCGCGAAATGACAATAGGCAGTGAAAATATAGTTTACCAAACCCTAGTCATCCAGAGCACCCTGATATGTGTATCTCAAGAAGTACATTCGCAACGCGATTCCCAGCAACCTCCTACGGGCTAAAGCTGCATCCACTAAGAGAGCAGCAAAGACCGGAATCACTAATCAGAGTAGCCACAATGCAATGGAGTTCATCCTTTCAGTTTCGAGTAAGCCTTTGTCCTACGGAAGGAAGCGTTGGCATTAGTAACATTGTCCATGAACAATCGGCAACACCATGAGTGAGGAAAATGGCATTAAAATTCCCACCATAAAGTAGGGAGTAGAAGAAACACTCGAAATTGCGAGACACCGTTAGCACCTTTGCAAATCAATATAATGAGCGGTTAAGCAAATGGATGCGACAGTTTCGTAGAGAGAATTAGGGACCAAGTGGTCGAAGCAAATAAGCGAGCAGTGGACTACAAAAGCGCCAAAATACGCCAAATAAACATCGGATGTAACAGATCCGCCGGCTATGAGAAGGAATGATTTATGAGGGGAAGACAAGGAGAGACAGCGAAAGGCAAACTACCGGATGGACAGCAACAGCAGTGGGGATAGAAAGCGTTATACGTTGTGCACAAGCAACATGCGCACAGAGAAAGCAAGCAAGAAAAAATCGATCAAGCTCTGAAAATCAACAAGATGCAAACGGACTGGTTACTTACTTTCATCTGTAATGGATAAAGACACCGAGAAATAAACACGAGGCATTAACGTCGGAGCTTGTAAGTATGCATACGCTTAAATGTCTGCGATGCAGAAGAATGTGCGGAAAAGCAACTAAACCAGATCAGTGAGCCGGGTAGAGTATACGGCAAAAAGCACTGTTAGTGGAGCGAGATAGTTAATGCATTGGTGCACACGGAAGAGACCAGAGGGTGAATCCCGCAATCCTAATGGGGGTGCATTGAGGTGACCCAACACGTGCATCAGCTGCTGAATGACTCTGACAAACGCCATAGTGCATGCTCCGGAAAAGCTGAGCACAAAATGCGATATTGTAAACAAACTGAAAAAGATTGCGGTTAGATGAGAAAAATCTTGGTGGCTCAGCTGGATTGAAAAACGCTTGTCGTCAACCTTGCAGATTACCATTGCCGGAGAAGTTCAACAAAATTAATCATAGAAAGCGCTTTTTGTAGTGAGAAACACATCAGAGAATTGTCCATTTTCAAATGCGATCGCAATGAGGTTTACACCGAAGTAGATAAAGGTCCAAATTAGCGCAGATTGCACTACAATAACAAGATAAGCACTAAAAACAAAAGTAAAATCATGATTAGCTTGGACTGTTGTTCAGGTTCGCTGCAATTTGAAGATGAATAGAACTTAGGAGGGAGCAGGGAATGGGTAGCGGTTGTGAAAGAATCAGGCCGGACAATCTTGGAAGAGTACTAAGGGGATACTCAGTATAGGACCCATCATTGCATTATGTAAGAAAAAGGGGCAACACCATAGGAAACTGTGAACATCCAGGAGATATGTAGATGAACAGCTGTGTTTCAGTAAGCATTCTTAGATGAAGCGATGAACAGAAAGGTGGTCATTACAAATCGATGAGTTTGGAAAACATGTTCTCAGAAAGTAATACAAAAAATAATGCAAAATGGTAGAGACCAAGTAGAATGCGAGCAGTATTATTATCAAACAGACTAAGAGCAGCCACATAGCAGCCGTCGGAGGGAAATTCGAACAAGAGAAAAAGTGAACGCGAGAGAGCGATCGTTCCCACAAGGACTCAGTTTAGTTACGCGAAAACAACTTTGATCGCAGGTGCGGTGGATGCAGTTGCTATGATCCGTCTATATGATAACAACAATTAGCAAAAGTGGGGCAATGGACAGAATTTCAAATGAAAATGCAACGAAAAGCAAGTCCACACATGACCACAAACAGATAGGTTCATACCTCAGAACGGCAGAATTGTACATGATTGGGCTTTAACTACAGGATATGTGTAAACTCTAGTAGCGCACATGGTCGGCTTACGTCCAGTCAAAGCTCCAGTACCACAATTTTGCGAGTTATTAACAATAATGTGTATACAGTGAGATACTAGTACAACAGAAGATTGGTGACCTCAGAAATTAGTTCCATATATTGAAATTTCATTAAGCCAAAATAAATCGGCACGCGAAATACTGATGCACAACAATCGCAAGAGATGCCCTGTAGCTTTTCAGAAGATCAAATGTTATACTGTACCGTTAAAATGTCCTGGGCCTGATTTTTAGAAAAGGAATTTGTGACTTTCTTCTGGACGCACCGAGGCACAAAAGTGAGGGAGAAAGCATATAAATCTCGCTAATGCCAATATTCCGTTGTAATAGCAATCGTTTTAGCGGAATTCCACTGTATTTCTCTAGTGTGTTGGAGGCTGATACTGCAACAGCTCATAATGTACAGTTATGGTAGAGTTCTTAGACAGGATTCAGTAGTATCCGTGCATATTTGTGTATATTTGACCATTCTCCTCACCGCCTAATTCCTCAGTTTGTGCTAGAGGAATTCATCGTAGTGGGAGCATGTTCACTATCGAGTTCTGATCATGAAAGACATCTAGTTTGACGTACAATGTTCTCGTGTTTGCACAACAACAGTGAGTGGCTGGTTGAGTAAAGTTCAACGCGCTATTTCTGATAGAAGCGTGAAGAGTGACATGCAGATGAGCGGAAGTTAGCCTGTAGTAGTAACAGTCGATACACCTGAGGCAGCACGCACAAATTGATTGAGTGACGACCTTGGCCTGTGTAGAGTAATTGTCACACAATAGTTGGGTCACAGTGGAGAGCACCAAAAGAAAGTGGAAATTTTTAACCGCGATTCAGAAGAAAACCAACGTTAGGTGTCGGATTCAAATCAACAGATCATTGGCACAGGCAGCCACCAGCTGTCCAAAAGAATTTACATGTGTGGTTAGTCACCACTTCGATGTTCAATGCACATAGAACGCCCAATGACGAGTGGGACGAGCGGCTGGTTAATAGATACTTGTGGGGAAGGTGTCGGTTACGGGCTGAATACCACGGTAGTAAGTTGCTCAAGGTAACCAATGAAGTGGCCACCTAGTGGGTTGTGAATGAAAGTGAGCTACGGTGAGTAATAAGAGCATTAATTATAAATCACAATCCCCACCCATAACCCTTGATCGAGCGGTGGAGCTGACATTCGGAGGCAATCGTTTGGCAAAGTGAAACAAGTCGGTGAAAAATGGATAGTTTACGAGGTGAAATTCCAACGGTTGCATAATACGAAGCTTGATCATACACTCAGCCAACATAATATGCTGATGAAGGGACAACCCACGCCCGAAGGATAAACGCGAGACATCATTCCCGGTAAGGAGAAGACAACCAGGTCATGCTATTAACGTGGTGATCGCATCTTTCTCAGTTAGAAAGCAAAATATCAAAAATGCATGCCTCACCAACCAAATTTGTAACGAGCACTAAAAAAGCGTGGGTGGAGAAACTGAGCAGGATCCACAAACATGATAGAGCTACTATACAGTAAACAGTGCATCTGGGAAACAAATGTAGCTAAAAATTGAGATCACGATAAGCAGAAACCAACGTCAAATACATGCCAGGTCGCCAAAATATGAAAATCTAAAGCATTAACACAAGTATGAGTCAAGCGTAACCAATTATAGATATTCCGGAGCTAACACTAGAGGCGTTGTGTGAGGAGCAATCCCCTTTCCTTACAGACTTTTCGATTGCCGTGTTAGAGTAACAGCTGTAGCTTTTTCTACAACTGAGCATAAAACCCATATTACAACCGAGAAATCCAGCGCATAAGCGGTGAATGATACAAAAAAGAACAGTACGATCATTTAATCCAGCTGTGCCTGTGTAAAAACCTGAGAACTTACATTTGTACAGACCAAAAAAAAGTCCGGTAGACGAATGGGAACGAAAGGTCTCGCTAAGTTGAATCTTATGAATGTGTACGAGTATGTTGGAGTTACTAGACAAAGTCTAGGCGCAAGTAAGGGATTCAACACTATTGCCCTAGGCTAGTTGGGTGTTCAATTGGCTGTGCCATAGTATGGCACACGATGGACATGAAACTGACCAGTATTACTTTCGTACGAAATAGCAGTGTGGTGTGGATCATCCCAAAGAATCGTTCACTGAATGTTGAAGCGAGTCAAAGAGAGATTTCCATTTGACCGACAAGGCGTTGCAGCGCTTTCATTCTGATGATGTATCGATTGCAAACCACCAAAACAACGCAGACGACGGACCAAACGTGGCAGTGATTGAGTAAACATCGCACTGCACAACACGAGCCGAGTTCATGCAATTATTGCCGTGAAAAACACCGGGATGGAGAAAATCCTTTCCAAGAACGCATCGAAATGAGCTACATACGTTACCACTCCAGGCTCCTAGACTGCGAGGTAACCTACTACAGGAGCCTAAACGCCGAAACAGTGCGAGCACAACTAACTCAAAAAGTCGTGGTGACTAATATCGTCATCAAAAAATTCCACGAGGCGCTGTACGATCCATACTTCGAGAAAGCAAACAAAATAGAGGCACAACTAATGATTTGTGGATAGAGGAAAAAGAACACCGATGTACACGGGTGATCGCCTTCAACGTCGGGTAGCAGCAGTATGGTGTCAGTACTGTTGGTTCGTCACAATGATCAGTCAAAAGATGCAATATTGTGATCATCCGATTCGCAAAAACGCTTTCATTAGATGTGATAAGAAATTCGTCAAAGTCGAACCAGGAATCAAGGTTTTTTGGCAGTGCTCAACAAAAGTTAGTCTTGTCAAGCGGTAAACTATGAGAAGTTAAGGAGCGAGCGCCTGATCTTTAACCTAAAAGCTACAAAGAATGTTGCAAAACGCAATCACTTGTAAGTCAGCAGGCGACAAGGTCTGTTATCACCAGCACCATCATCAACAATACATGTTAGCCAGGGGGGAGAGACACATCTCAGCTATTGTGCCGTAATACAAAAGGGTGAGAAATTAAGCGATATAGACTTGAAAGAGTAAAGTAACGCTAATATCACATTTATGAATGTTGTTGGAGAGGGAAGCTAAAGGGAAGGGGAGGGACAAAGAGTCTCGCGACACAAACGCATTGAAGTCGACGCTTCACCAGGTCGGATAGTATATCCAACCAAACGGGTTCATCATTCTTCGGTCCCTAGTCAGGAAGTCGGGAAACACCAACCGACGCCAACTTCGAAGTGAGGGACTTAATTCCACTTGACCAAGTCAATGCCTGGCCTCTCCTCCTCCTCTTCCATAAACAACGTCGGCGCGCAAACAACGCACGTCGACGGAATCGATGGGCTGGCATGCACAACATGTGGCCCAGCCATCGGAGCCTGGTGCGTGACTTAACGGTGCTGAGCGTTTCACTCGCTCCGCCTGCACCAAATACGTGGCGCCAAACACGCTCATTATTCATGTGGTGCTCCTACAAAACATGAGTCAAAATGCGAAAGCACCGAGGATCGAACGCAACTAGCCTTCTTCCGTCGGACGATTTGGTGGGCCAGGTCTCACAACCACAGAGGAGGATTGTACGGACGGTTGCCTAGCAAAGTCTGCCGTTCGGAGCGAAAGTAATGCCACCGCGACGCCACAAAGGACGAAGGCGAGCCAAAGCACCTCGAGCTTTGGCTATACGGTTTGTGATCTCAT